GATACTACTGACTTCACATTTAACATTTACTACACGTATATTAATTTTTTATTGAGCACATATATATTTGCAATAAATGTCTTGGAACTCTTATATACATTTTTAAATTGGTTTCAAATTTTATATAATACATAATATTAATCATAACTGTCGTTTCATTATACTGCTGTGATGATATCATACAGTTATAACTAATAATAACTATTATAAAAATTATAACTACTACAACAAATATTATCAAACGCTGAATATGTTGTATACTAATTTTTTATTAGGCAGTATATGTTTTATATTATTTCAATTAGCCCCTCATTACAGTATTATAACGTACAGTAATATTTCAAAATGTTTTATATAAATTTCTTTATACAGTACAGAATATTCTACTGTACGTGAAATATATATTTCCTGTACGTAAAAATTCATCAGGGGTATATGTTTCAATACCTAATTGCTCTCGCAATGCTTCGTGTAGTGGCTTACAGTTAAAATCGGTCACATGATTTATGGTTTACGATGATGAATGAAATACTTAAAGCATAGGTTAGATTCCACTGAATTTATTTAGGTCAGCGATGTCGAAAGCCGAATGAAGAATTTAATTTCTTCACGCCCTTGGCCACATACGTATGCGGACTATAAAAAAAACTTTCATTCGCGAAACCGTTACAAAAATAGTTGTTTCCTCGAAATTCTGAAATGCGAACTTCGTTTTCTCATTTCGTGCTTATTTTCTTTATTCGCCAAAAATAAAATGAAATTAAATTAAATTTCTTTGTTACAACTGAAATTAAAAATTCCGTCCCCGAGGTGGTTAAGATTCAAAATTTTCAAGCAAGAAGAAAATCTGCACGTTTAAGAGTTAAATCTGGAAATAGCAATGTCTGAATATTATGAGAGCTATGAACGCTTTGCGTAAAAATGCAAAGCAAATTAGAGATTTTTGATACATCTCGATTTTAACAGGACAACGATTTCGAGCTTAATATTCCAAGTATCGTTAGAAACGGCATTTCTGAAAATCATAAGTCTAAAAGATATTTCAATTTGACTCTTACTAGGCTCATATGAAAAAGGATAGACTATTTCTCGTTTCTCACGAATGAATTAAAGTTAAAAACTAATCATTGTTAGACGTAATTGTTTCAATACATTTCTTTCTAGGAAACGAAGGAAATACCAATGATTTTTTTAAAAAATTGCAGTATTTATCACTTTTAGCCAAGTGACGTATTTTCTTCGACAACAAAAATAACGGAGATATTAAAGTAGACGAGATGAAAGGGGGGGGAAAAAAAAAAGAACACCCTGTATAACAAGTTACATTTGATTCAGTAATTAAATAAGATTTATTCAGATGGTTTCGAAACGGTACGTTTCACGGACAAATTAAAAAGTTTGTTCGTTACGTTTATATTTTATATTTTAAAGCATCGCCAGGCGAGCTTTTCGCGGAGGAGAGTCATACATAGTTGTTCAACCGCGAAGTATTCTAGTTACGTTCCCAATGAAACTATGCATTCCATCGTCTTTTGCAAGAGGATACGTCTATACAGAAACGAATAACGCTCTGAAATGTGATTCGTTTGCGTAAATTGTTTCATTCGAATAAAACTGTCTAATTTTCAATTTAGCACTTTGTACTGCGTGGCTTTCTCACATTATGAATTCTTTCGTAATAACGTTAATTCTACATTCACTTTCAAGCGATGATGCTTCGCCAAAAAATACTTGTTATTTTTAGATATATATTCTTCTAATAAAATTTCTTTTCCATCAAACCTGTTTCTAATAACCAATTTCTTAAAATGCATACTATATGTACAAAGAAACATTTATAAAAAAATATATTAAAATTTCTAGCTATATAATAATATAATAATAATAATAATAATATATAATTTCTGAATGTCTTAAAATTGATATAATTAATATAATTTTAAAAATTGGATTAAAATTTCTAGATATGTAATAATATAATAATAATATAGTATATAATAGCATAAATATATAATTTCTGAATGTCTCAAAATTGATATAGTTAATATAATTTTAGAAAAAAACATTGGATTAAAATTTCTAGATATATAATAATATAAATATATAATTTCTGAATGTCTCAAAATTGATATAATTAATACAATTTTACAAAAAAAAAAAAAAAAAAATTGGATTAAAATTTCTAGATATATAATAATATAATAATAATATAATATATGATAATATAAATATATAATTTCTGAATGTCTTAAAATTGATATAATTAATATAATTTTACAAAAAAAAAATTGGATTAAAATTTCTAGATATATAATAATATAATAATAATATAATATATAATTTCTGAATGTCTTAAAATTGATATAATTTATAAAATTGATATAATTAATATAATTTTACAAAGAAAAATTGGATTAAAATTTCTAGATATATAATAATACAATAATAATATAATATATAATAATATAAATATATAATTTCTGAATGTCTTAAAATTGATATAATTAGTATAATTTTTCAAACAAAAAAATTGGATTAAAATTTGCAGGCGTTAGTATACCTTTTCAGTAAGGTCAATTAAATCTCTAAATGTATTTAAACACGTACATATATGTACGTAAATATAGTTTTATAAAATTGAAATTGCTTTTAAAATCTCGTCCTTTGGTTTTTCAACGTTTTGAATCGAAAATGGAAATATCCGTGCAACTCGATAAAGTGAACTAGTGTAAATAGTGTATTTTGCGAATGTGTAAAATTATGCATATGTATACATATATATTAATGGCGGATTTTACAAACAATGATTTGGAATATCATTGAGTATTTAGTGACCGAATACTGCTGTTAAATAATATTTATGAAGCGACTGTCAGCGAATTTAATACGATTGACATTTGATGTTTTCATGATGTTTTATTTGTCAACTATTTTACTACCAACAAATAGATTGTACATGAAACTCAACTATGAATAATCATTCAACTCGAATACATTTCTCTTGAAACTTGAAATTTTCACCTAACGAAGTTAAAGTTTCAAACATTAACACAGGTTTCTGAAAATACACAACCCGTCATTTGTGTGAAAAATTTTTGTCTGTCAAGTACAAAAGTGAAAAATAAATCAAAAGATTATTAACAACGGCCGATTTCGAACTTGTACTGAATCTGGTGGATCAGTAAAATCTTACTGATCTTCGGGCAGCGAATAGTTTTGTATGCATGGAGGTCAGAGGTCAGATTTGATTCAATAATTGATTCAGTCGGATTTGATTCCATCATCGGAAATTTTAACTTCGTTATTCAAATATTCAGTTGTACGAATATATATTCTTACTAATTTGTCTCTTAATTAATTCAATAAATATCATTATTGTATTATTATCAACACATTTCTGTATTTAATGAATCCGTCGTCTTTGTCTAATAGTTACGAAGAAGATTGTAAATGTTGAAACTTAAATTAACTACTTTGTATCTAACTATGAACGAATATTTGTTTATAAAGAGAAAAAGTTCTGATTACAGCGTATCTTTCTGTCGAAAATCATCTGACTAGATGTACACACTAGATGTCTTCCACCAAACGTAATTTACATGAAGAAATTTTAAACATTTTTGTAAAAATCGTATCGCAGTGTTACGTGTCATTCCATTATGCTTCGAATTGTAAGTAAATATTCCCAAGTTCCTAAAAAATAACACATTCGCTGTGAAATTCTTGCGAAATTGACTTTTATTCGAATTAGAACTCTCATAAGTACACGAGACGTCTCGTCCGTGACACGAACGACATTGTGTCGCGGGATGACTCGTCCGTAGTGTCGTGTGATCGATATTACGTCGCGAGATATCTCGTCGTTGCCGTTGCCAAGGGGTTAAGAACAGCTCGAGCGATGCAGTGGATGCACAGTGATCTTCAAACACAACGACATACGTGTCGCGGGCAACGAAAGACAGTGACACTCGGTACTCGAAACTCAACGATTCTGTCGCGCTTTCCAAGAAACGTCACGGACTAAACGTTGAATCGCAGATCGAACATCAAACGGACATCACAAATATACGAAAAACAGCCAGACTGCACAATTTTCCTTCCCTCCAATGGACGTTTTCTTCCTCATTTGCCCTCGTAATTGAACGAAAGAAAAAAAAAAAAAAAGCGCCACGTTCGCAGTCTATTCACGAAAAATTATTAGTATGTACACTCCGCGATAAAAATATAATAGCACACTGTATAAATATAAAATTTTTTAACTTTTGAAGCAATATATTGCATTGCTTTTAGAATTATATATTATAATATTAGTAATTATATTAGTAATTATGTAAGTATTATACTAATAATTATATTAGTAATTATATAAGTATTATATTAGTAATTATATAATTATATAAGTAATATATTAGTAATTATATAAGTATTATATTAGTAATTATATAAGTACTATAATAAGTAATTATATAAGTATTATATTAGTAATTATATAAGTACTATAATAAGTAATTATATAAGTAATTATATAAGTATTATATTAGTAATTATATTAGTAATTATATAAGTATTATATTAGTAATTATATTAGTAATTATATAAGTCTTATAATATTTATTACGAAAAGAATAAATTTTATTCTACAATATTGACAAATCGGTGCGTCAAAAAAATAGCACATTTAAAACGACTCATTATCTATAGAAGTATATTATTTTAATATTTTGTTGCTTCACCTTTTGCTTGTATTACTACTAGTAAACGGTTTGGTAAGGATTTAAATAATTTTTTAACAAATTTTTGCCTTAAAGATCGCCAGTTTTGCTCGATGCAATTTTTTAACTACCTGAACGGTCTGAAATTGTCTTCCCTTAGCATGTACTGATCTCGATAATTGTGCCCAACAATTCTCGATGCTGTTCAAATCTGGCGATCATTGACTGACCATTGTAAAATTTGAATATTTTCCTGTGTAAAGTACTATTTCACAATCCTTGCCGTACGAACAATTTTTACTGCATGTTTTTCCAACTGTTCATCTATTAAAGTAATATAATGTGAACTTTCCATTTTTCCACTCATAAACTTAATTTCCGTGTTTCCATAATATCCAATTTCAGCCCACACCATTACTCCTCCACCACCTGCTTGTCGATGACTTAAAATCTGTGGTTCTTTACGCAAATCACGAAAATAAGATCGATATCCATCCGGATCCATCTAATGTAAGTCTCTTTTCATCACTAAAAATTACTTTTCGCCATTTTTTCATTTAATGGATAAATTTTCCAGCAAATTGTAAATGTGCTTCTTTATGCTGTTTCGTTAGCTGTATCAATTTCTTGCGTTATATATACTTACATTCTTTTATAATACGTTGTACATTATGTACTTTAGTATTTACGCCAGCTTCTGCTGCAATTTCTCTTACAGTACCCGCAGAATTTGACGCAATTTTTTAAATTGCACGACGATCAGAGGTCACTTTTGGACGTTCTGCGCTTTTCTTTTCCCCATGTCTTTCTTCGTTTCTTTAAAAGATTATACATTACTTTGCGACTGTGATTTAAAAATTTTTGCAATAGAACACCTTTCCTTACGTAAATTTTGAATTATCGCTATTTCACAGTCATTTAATTTCTCACCACGACCCATTGTTATTGATTTCATAAAATTTTGAAACTAAAACTCTTACAATGTTAAGTATTTGCTCGTGCGAACAGTTTGACGACACATTGCATTAACTGGAGAAACAAAACACTTTGAAAGTGTGCTGTCATTTTGACGCGGCGGTCAGCACTAATGTTTTCAGATCAACATAAACTCAGTAAGCAAAAAAGAAGACGTACAATCCATTGCTTTGACTGAAAAATGGATATACAGTGAGATACAAAATTGAGTCGATAATAATAATAAATTTTTAAGAAAAATATTTTTCATTGTCAAATAAAGTATAAAAACATGAAAATAAACTTGACTGTCTGATTCTTTATAGTTTTAGGAACTGAAGGAAAAATAGCATCCCACTGTATAATAAAAAAAACTGCTATTATTTAATTACATTTGCGCAAATTAATAAAATTACTTATTGTTAGTGTGCTATCTCTTTGTCGCGGAGTGTAGTTACGAAAAGCTGTGGAAACTCGAAATCTCGGACGGTGATAATGTAGCAACTCGTCGCAATGAAATAACATTCTAATGGGAGGCAGCAGTATTGGATGAAAACGGATCGAGTTTTTGCAATAACGAAATGAGAGTCGAACTGGACTTTAATTTTTATTACGAACGAGAAAAGCGATAATGTTTCGACTACGATCCACGTTCCCAGGAAACACGTATATTTAATATTGATGTTCCTTAAATCAGCCGGGGACGTGGATAACGAATGGTTCTACCGACCGAAAGTGTTCGGGAAAAGGGTGTTCGATCGGTTTCAACTGTTATCCGACGTGAAATGCCCACGAGGAAACTCTCAGCTTTCGTGTTTTACTGCTCCCTCCTTGTGCTTTTGCTTCGTTAATGAGAGCAATCCAACAGGATGTGATACACGTGTATATGTATACACATTTTCTTTAACGAAGTATGAAACGTTACGCCGCCGTTACTTCACCGGGTACTCCGCTGCGCCACAATTTTCGAACGTAGGAAGTTTTTTTCGTTTACTTTCCGCTCCGTAATAATTTGTACGATTTCAGTAATGATCCATTAAGTATGAACATTATTTACGTCACGTGCAGTTGTGTGTACGCTCTCCGCGTTAGAGGCTGTTCCCATTCGAATTTCACGTTTCGCGGGTTTTGGTCTCGAAAATTAAACTTCAGTTTTGTGGAATATCGTAAAAAAAAAAAAAAGGGAAGCGAAAACTTTCGTCGCAAAGTTTAATTTTATTTCGATTTTAGACAGTTCCAAGCGAATTTTAATTATCGGTTCTAACGTTCTAACGTTTGTTGTAATTGTCGCCTTCGGTCACAGCGAATGTCGTAAGTAACAAAAAAAAAAAAAAAAAAAGAAAAGTAATTCGAATTTACTATGATACTCTTTCTGACGGTGAAGCTTAATTCCATTTCGTCGTTGTTAATTCGCCGATTCGATAAACTGCCGACATTAAATTTCAATTTCGTTAAAACTATTCACAATTAATACTCAAAGTAAATCAATCTATAAACATTCAAAAAATTTCTTAAATAAAACGACGATGACGTGAAAGCTACATTTGAATATTTTTCTCATATGAATTTAGATCGAGACGTTGTGCAGCGAAGGCATGCAGTAATGAATAAAAGATTTGGGAAAAATACAACTTCTAAAACGATCAACGATGATGACGATTCAAAAGATTTCGTTCAGGTGATATATAAGGAAGTCATCCGCGATAATGCTCGACCTCACGTACAGCGTAAGTTACGATTCATGAACAACACGAGCTCAAATACGAAATTATGTTACATCTATATCATATTTTCTTCGGTATTTCTTCGACAGATGACGATTTTTTTTCAAGTGTCTAAATCGTTTCGCGAAATACTTTTGAAGAATGCGGAGATGAAAGATGTTTTTGAAAGATCTCACGGTATCAAGAAATATGAATTTGATGGAAATAAGATGTCGGTATATTTTTGATAGACCATATCGAACAAAATTACGATCTGATTCGTTCAGACATTGTAAATCTTAACAGACATCACTCTTCCACGTCTCTGAATTATTATAATCGAGAGACAAAACTGTTCGGTTAATAAAATCTTTGGATAACAGAGATGGTCTTGTCTACGTGTCTAAATTAAGATCAAGAATATCGCTTCTTCTTTCGAGTGACATTTCTTTCGTTTGCTGAATTATCTAACTTCTTCGTAAGAGTCATCTGGCTTCTGTATTCATACTTCAATGTGATAAACTTTATATTTTACACTTTGAACCAGCAACGTGATTATTGGCGTGCGGCAAATAATTTCATAATTGCTATTAAATTAATAATATGTAATTAATTAAATATATTTTAACGTGATTATTTTATATTTGTGTCAATAAATAAACTCTGGATTTTAATTTATTTTTCAAGCGTGCTGCAAAATTTCCAAGTGCGTAAAATTTCCGTATTCTGAGGAAAAGGTCGACCGGTGTTTTCAATCAAAGACATTTCCTAAATCACATGAAGACATCTCATCATTTGCTCTTTTAACTTCTACTACGAAGAATTTTTATCTACTTGTTAACCATTTTTAAATAAACCACTGATTCACCACATAGATAATCTCTCATCTGTTAGATTAGTATCGTTTCTTGGGAAAATCTTCCAAGTTCGATTAGTATTTAGGGAAATATTATTTTAGCAAGCTCTTTTTACAAATGTAAAAAGAAAAAAGAAAAAAAAAAAAGAAAAATAGATGAAATCGTAGAAAATGAACAGTAAAATATTTGAATGTTAAAACGCTCGAATAACGAGAAGAAACTCCATTATTACAGAGAATTTCGTACATTATTTTGATCTCTAGACTTTCTCGTGTTTTTGGCAACGCGTTTTCATCATAAAAGCTACGCTGCACGTACAGCTCGTGACACGATACACGTTTGTAGACAGAGCAAACATAAAGATCCCGGTGCTATTAATTCGAATTTCAAATGACTGATAAGCAATCGCACGGTGTGCTCACGCGCACGATACACTAGTACGAGCATACGTAGTTACTTCTATGCCCTGGTGATCGATGTCATCATAAATTCCGCGACGTTACTTGTTTCCACCTGGCTCCTCCACACCCGTTGCATGTCCGCGCATTTATCAGCGACTTAAGAGGCGTGTTTCTAGACTCATTGCGAGTCGCGAGTTCTATTTCGGCAAAATCTAACCGCACTTACTGGTAGAACGTACTTTGTCTTGGATTCGCGTTTCTTAACTCTTTGCGGTTACGTGGGTTTGAAATTGTCCTACAATTTTCTTTCACAGTTAACCCCTTTGCGCTGGCAACTGGTTCGCGGACCATAACGAGTGACCGAACCCGTATATACAATAATTCGTCGCTTTTCATTTTCTTTTAAACTCGTCGGTGTGATATCACTGGATTGAAATTATTGAGAAGTAACAAGTTTATTATTTGTTTTGCCTGGGTTATATACTTAAATATACTTGACACTGAGGAAATATTGCAATTTTGGGGCAAAAAGTTATTCTGGCACGTCATTCCAGCGCAAGAGGTTAAGTCCAAGATTCCAAATTTGTGTAGTTTGTGCTAGATCCGGGGAATTTAGGACATTTGATTTTGTTTGAAAATTTATTTTCATTTATTCAAGTAATTTCTTAGATTACCAGGATTTAGTTAGGGCATTTGATTTCGTAATAAAGATTGGCAATAAAATTAAGTGAAATCAATGACTCTAAAATTAACTAATTTTACAGATTATCAGAATTTGGGGCATTTGATTTTATTTTACATATAATAATTAATAGCAAAATTACATATAATAATTAATACCACTGTATAGAAATGATTGAGAAATAATTAATTTATTATTTGTTTTGCCTGAGTTATACTTAAATATACTTGACACTGAGGAAATACTGCAATTGTGGTACAAACAGTTATTCTGGCACGTCATTCCAGCGCAAGAGGTTAAGTCCAAGATTCCAAATTTGTGTAGTTTGTGTTAGATCCGAGGGATTTAGGACATTTGATTTTATTTGAAAATTTATTTTCATTTATTCAAGTAATTTCTTAGATTACCAGGACTTAGTTAGGGCATTTGATTTCGTAATAAAGATTGGCAATAAAAATTAAATGAAATCAATGACTCTAAAATTAACTAATTTTACAGATTATCAGAATTTGGGGCATTTGATTTTATTTTACATATAATAATTAATATCACTGTATAGAAATGATTGAGAAATAATTAATTTATTATTTGTTTTGCCTGAGTTACATTTAAATATATTTGAAACTGAGAAAATGTTGCAACATTGGGACAAAAATATTCTCAACGTGCGTGGTACGTCATTCCAGCGCCAAAGATTAATGCATGATGGGATACTTTTTAACCCACCTAAAAATGTGTTTCAACGAATTCGATTTAAAACGTTAGTTGCATGGTGGGATTATTTATGCCCCACTTTGTAAGAAAGAATTTATTTAAATATTACATCTTTTTCATTTCGAGAAATATTTCATGTTTGATAATTGAAATAAACGTTTTTTATATTAAAAAAAATTCCGTGCAGAAAGAGT